TCACTTAACCCCCATTACCGTAACAATGTACCAATTTTTTTACTCGCGGTTCGTCCTTTTTAGCGCATTTTTGCAAAAATTTTTTTTGTAAAAAGTAGCTTTTAATCTCACTTTGGCTGGCTGGCTGGCTGGCTGGCTGGCAGTAAATGCGCGCCCGTAGAAAAACGCTTGTAAAAAGACAAGGAGTGTACATGTAACTATCGGGGCCGTGTAATTAAGAACGTTAGGGATGGGGCTACAAGATTTGGAGTCGACGACATCTGGACGCCATCCCCGAGCGTATTATACTAACCTGGAGATTTTTCAGTTTTTATCTATCTTCTTCTACAGTTTTTCTCCGATTGTTTTCAAATTGGTGTCGTCGGGAAGATCTTGTCAACGCGCACAACTCCTGCGTGGCGGAATTTTGTTTTTTTTTTCCTAGGGGCGAAATAAACCACCTTTTGCGCGGCGCGCTTCGAGGGGTAGTCGACTTTGGGCGCCCAAAAGTTTCTTACAGCGCGAATCGCGGTCTCTCTTTCTCGTGTCACTAATAGAAGGTCGAGCTATGTGAAGTACCCAAAAGTTGAATACGATTTTATGCCGGGATTTTAGCGAAATCTACCAAAATGGGAATTACGAATGAACGGGACGTCGGAACTGTGTATCGACAAAGGGAATGTGGTAACCCCCGACGAGATCTTACTGATGGTGGAGTCAAAACTTCAAACGCGAATTGCGAGTGCACGGTAAGTGAGAAAATGGTACCGACAAAGTGAACGTGGTAGCTTTCGGCAAGATCTTATTGATGGTGGAGTCAATATTGGCTAATAAAACACTGATCTGCCACACAAAAATGCGCTGAAGTCCCTTCGATCTCACACGAGGACTTTGATAATTTTTTTTATACTGACGTGAGGGTATTGTGCTTATTTGTACTTTTAATACCCCACAGTCTGGGCCTTCTTGATTTTGGAGATACATATTTGCAAAAAACAAATTGCGAGTGTAAGTATATACCGGGTGATTCATTAGAACTGATGACAGTTTGAATGTCCCGCAAAATAAAAAATTTTAAAGGTTGGTAATAATAGATTATCATTTGCCTAATTCCAGTGGTGTATGTAGAATCACTCTCCAAGGAGTAATAATTTATTTTTAATTTACAAATAAGTCGTTATTTAAATTGTTATTAAATCAATCACAATAATTACGTCGATTCTCATAATCAAGAGCGTGCAGTTGCTGTAGAACAGAAACCCGGTACGGGTGTATGTATACGTAGATCTTTATGCAAAATTCGTTGGCATGTTGCATAGACACTCCTGTAATTCGAAAATAAAGTTAGTAGGTATAATATTCATTCTACGTGTACCGCTTATCAGCTTGGGCACTTAACTGACGGATTGATTTTCTGGAACTCGCTTCCATTCTTTGTCTTCGACCACTTCATCGTTTCTTAGTAATGGATTACCTTTTTTTTCTTCTTTGCAAATGCAATTCTTGTTTTCAAATCTATCAACGATTCGTTTCTTATGAATGGCAAATGCTTTATAAGAAATAATAACATCGGGATACTCTTCCTTCCATAAACTGCTCCCAATAGAACTGGAAGATCCTCAAGAAGGGGATTTTTAACCTACAAATGCACATTAGTCTGATTTAACCGTTATTTAATTACTTACTTCATCAAATTCTTGAATTTACAGCGTAGTTTTGGAAAGAACTGTTTGATAATACAGATTGGAAAAGTAAATTAAAAACAACAACAAATTAACGAAATAACGACGGCACTGGTGACTAATAAGAATTAGTAAAATAACTAAAAATATATCATCGCCAATTCTATCCCGTAAAAAACACTAGAATTGTACGCGCGAAATTCAAACTGACATCAGTTCTAATGATTCACCCGGTACCTCGGTATATACTTAGTTCTATTATTGTACTTGTATACTCGCGGTTTGTGCCTTTTTGGTTGATACTTGATACTTGGGCATGTATGCTCAGAAATATTCGAAAATGGGGTTAAATTAACGCTTATACCCAAAAGGGCACAGACTGTGAGCATTAAAGCACAATCGAAGTATTATGTGATACCGTCGTTTCAGTATGAAACAGTTCACTTAACACCCATTTGAATTTTCGAAATTTTTCTAAAACTAAAAAGACGCAAACCGTGAGCATAAATGCACAATAGAGGCACAGTAGATGCACAAAAATTGGCTCATTTTTGAGCTATTTACGATCTTTTATATTAAGATCACCAACAATCAAGATTTATCATATCAAAGACACCGCTTTCTTTGTATATAGATACCTATAGTACGATCTTCAACATTTATTTGATTGACGCTGCTTTCTGAGAAACCCTTGTCTGTAACAGAATCATATCTATACTGTATAAGGTACCAAATCTCCTTTCCCTGTTGCGAAAGATTACGACCAGCTTCAGAAGGGCACCATCAGAAAGATTCCGAATAAACCGATACAACGAAATATCGAAGGATCCTCAGTATTACAATAACTTTTATCGATAATTTATTTTAATGTTACAAAATACATCAAATTCATGTCTTGGCCATTGAGATAATGCTCTTAATCTTGTTTTGATCAAAATCCATGTGGTCGCCAAAAATAGATCAAATTCATGTTTTGATCATTGAGATAATGCTCTTGGTCTTTTTCCCAACGTTCTTGGTGCATAAATAACGATTTTGACATGTTTTGATCAAAATTCATGTGGTCGCCAAAAATAGATCAAATTCATGTTTTGGTCATTGAGATGATGCTCTTAGTCTTTTTCCCAACGATCTTGGTGCATAAATAACGATTTTGACATGTTTTGATCAAAATCCATGTGGTCGCCAGAAATGCATCAAATTTATGTCTTGAGCATTGAGATAATGCCCCTAGTCTTTTTCTCGACGATCTTGGTGCATAAATAACGATTTTGATTATTTTGATCAAAACCCATATGGCAATAATTTAACATTTTTGAATCACACACATGCGGTTATCAAATGTGCACGTGATGTACTCTTGCTGCATCAAGATAATGCGTTTGAAACCTTTTAAAACTCTAAATTCATGTATAAAGTGTAATTTTTGCTACATTTTGCTCTAAAACTTTCGACCTATACCACAGAGAAGAGTTATATTAAAGTATTACACATCTAAGAGTCATAGGGAATAATCTAGCGGAAGTCCCAACCCGATACATGACCTAGGGAATGAAATATGTTGATTTCTATTATATTGAGCCCGTAGTTTTTCCTGTTCCCGATTCACTCGAAGTCCTATAACTTTTGTTCCTATTGAACCAGCTTCCTGAAAATCAATAGCGCCGTCCTTAATGTCCAAAGAACCCGTACACCAAATTTCAACTCAATCGGCCACTTTTAAAAAGAGTTAGAGCGCACACGGACGGACGGACGGACGGACGACAATACAAAACTATAAAGGATCTGAGGATCCTTAATAAATCGAGAAATAAATCTACGAACGTTCATACTGAAAATGAAAATGTACAAAATAACTGAAAAAACGGCGTCACTTTTCGTAGTGCATCTTTGTTTCCCTTTTTGTTATCTAAACTTCTTTTTCGCTTTCTAGCACATTCAAAAGGAGTGTAAATTATAGTAGCAGGACATTTTGTAGATCAATTATACTACTTTCCTGCCAGTAAAAAATACTTAAGATGAACTAGCCTAAGCTGCATTGAATCTTAAAGAAATACGTCAAACGTTTGCGGATTTGTTCAAAATCTTTCTGACGATCTCCTGAAGTTTAAAAAGCAAGTAAAAATAATTACATTGGAAATTAATTATGATTGACGTGAAGAACATACACAAATCGTTTAGGAATTTTTATTTTAAATCTTTTCGCTAATATTTTCCGTTGTCTCGTAAAATTGGCCGTGATTTTTTCATAACCGGCAAGGATACAGGTATAGTGAAGACGAGCTTTGGTTCATTCAATGCGGAGGAAGGTATAGGTACTTATACTTTTATTGTTCGAAGATTTTTCGAAAACGACAGGGGTGCAATGCACATGAATTTTCATCATTTCATTGATCGACATGAATGAAAATTTGATATTGATAGTGATAGTTACGCTTAAGCCATCCATGCGAGTGGTAATACGCCACTGATTCGTACAGAATATAAATGGCCAATTAAATCATTAAATAAAAACAAAATGACTGAATTGCATAAATATACATTGAGGGCAAAAAAATCAGTTCCGCCTGTGATTATAAGCTGCAATACAGAAAGACGTACAGGCGCGCACCGTGCACCCTAATTACCACGGTATAATTACACCGCGCTAATTACCCAAAAAATGTATTGAAATGCGTCAAGTGGTAAACTTAAATAGTCGTCCACCTACTGCATAATAAATTATAAAAGTGTGCCCAAATGCGGAGCAGAATTGTGTAGTAGATTTGTTGAGAGCCCTCGTAGATAAGGTAAAGTCCATAGTAAAGCGATTTGACACCATTTTGTGTGGGGACTCCCAACTGATTGTATTTGACAAAAATGCCAATAAATATAAATAACAAAATTTTATAATTAAACAGGGCGCTTCGCCGGTCCTTTTTTTTATCAACGAAGCAGCACTTTATAATAAGCGTTTTTAATAAAATTGAATTGATCGTTTAATTAAAGTTATAATTTTTAAATTGCCAATTAAAAGCGTCACGCTATTGCAACTCCGCCCACTGTTATTTTTAAATCAGGTAATTAATAATGTAAAAGTAACCGTAATTAAAAGTAAATTGATGTTTGCATACACGTACGTATTATTTTGGGCAGTAAATTCACGTACGTTAGTTTAAAAATAGCTCGAGAAACACGAATTCGTAAAAATTAAATTGGGTTACGGCGCGATTTCCACACAATTTTCGTTTGTGATAACCCAATAAAAGGCTATCGAATGAATTATGGGTTCCATAAAGTTTAATGGGGTAGTTTGATAATTGAAATAGAAAATGTTTAACCGGAAATGTGAAAACTTACCGGATGTCGAGCGGCCGCAACAGCTGCCGCTGCTGCTGCGTTCATTCCTGCACTTGGGTACATCGTACGTCAGAAACCACTCATATTCCCTAGCGATTTTTACACTGCAATCCACACTCACTTATCAAAGAAACGCACTTAGAACTCCTGACGCTTATAACTGTACCTGGCGAGTTTATTAATATAACAAGTGTTTAAGCAATAATCAACTCGGTGGTAATTAATCGGGCGATTAATTAAGAATTTTAAATACAAATACGTTCCAATGTCAATTCCATAAACTGATACAACCTCTCGCTTACACTCTCAACAAACAACTGCCGCTCGATGCTTCCCCTTCCATCGCTTCCCGCGTCCCCTCAAGCGCCACGCACACCCAAAACCGCTAACATTCACCTCATACCCTACAAAAAGAAATACCAGCAGCTTAGTACATTCCCTACGAAAAATATCGCAATCACTCAATATTCTGAATGTACAGTAAAAGATACCCAAAAATGTTCTAATAGTTTATTGAAGCAATTTGGCAAACAACGTTCTCAGATTTATTAGACCTTCGCCCGTTTTAAACACCTCGACCGTACGAAAATTGATGTTTCATTAATTATCCGACAAAAACAATAATTTCGAAACGGCGAAGTGTCCAAACGGGCATTACTCTATTAAGCTTTTTTTTAAAGGTTTATGTCACAAGTCGCATCTCAAACCGCCGTCTCACCGGAATACGAGAGTCATTCGACCTGAACCATTGCCGCACTTTTAAATCGCTTGACAGCCCTCGTCCCCCGAAACGATTTCTGCTTGTTCGCAACAAAAAATATAAAAGATAAAAAAACTACCCTCAAAATGGCTGCCTAGCAGAAAGCATCTCATTTTAGTCGAAACAGGGGTTGCAGCTATCTTTGTTCCGTCCGCAAGATCCACTTCATCCCCTTTCACCCTTATAAATATGGCGCCCTGATTGCCAGTATAACATACTCGACTTAGTCCACGTGGACTAAAAAGCTAGCAATGTTCTTGTCCAATTCTCGCTCGGAATTTCATGTGAAAGCCAACCGAACGTTCGTGTTTGGAAATCACGCCCGTTTAAATGTGACGTCTCATTTTCACATCTCCTGCGCCAACCGCACTCGCTCACTTTCCAATCGACTCTCGCGACTCCCTTCCAGCGTGCTTTCGCGTTTTGACGTTCGCTTCAAGTCCACGTGGACCTTCAATGTCTGTGATGCTGTCTGCAGGTTGCTGGAAGCAGGGAGTTGAGCTTGAGGGAGTGAAGCAGCCAGCAAAAATAAAGAGCCCACCAAAAAGTATATATGAGAAAAGATAAAAATCTAGTGGGTCAGGGCGCGGCTCTATTCTAACAGAACAAAAGCTTTCCAGGCCTGCTAAATATAAAACTCGACAGGTTAGCTAGCAATCTTTGCTTTTATACACAATTAATATATTGGATGTCGTTCATTCGTTTACTGGGTACTTCTCTCCGATAATTGAAAACAATCAAAAAGTTGCTCCCTAATTTTATAAAGTGCTTATTTTGACCGTCGCTCGCCGCTTTTTTCCCTCCGCTGCCGACTACTTTAAATATTAAAGGTCTTATAATATAATCGATAACAATGTCTTTATCGCAACCCATTATGTCAAACTGAAATGAGGACAGAAGTGTTTCTGTGTCGTTTAGCGTTTGACAGCGGCGGCTTAAAGAGGGGTGAGGGGGGGGGCGGTTTTTCTTCATACAAGAACGCGCACTAATTACATACAATGAACAATATACGTATAGCGCAATTCGAAACTAACTGGACAAAGTTATAATTTGGAATATGAAGTAATTAGATAAAAAGCTCAAATTATATTCACACATTAAATTAACACTTTGCATATTTTAAATAATGTAATGTAATAGTTTCTTGACGTGGGTAGGAATATAAATGTACAAATAATTATCTTGGAACATTCGAGCGGAAAATTGCACTGCTCATTTTTTTTAACAACGTGTTAGGAAATATTTCTTTTTGTTTATTAAAATGCTAGACATGCAACATTCCTTTTTCCCCATCAGTAACTACCTATTTACATGTGCGTAATGTAAAAAATAACAGAAGTATTTTTTAACACTATAAGCGTGAAGGTGGCCAATAAATGATAGTATTCTTATCAGAAATATCTACCATTCATGGGCAACTGCCAGAAAAGATCTAAATGTAAAACAATAGAGAGGGAGGTCAGGGGTATGGAAATCGGTAACATTTTTCACGTGTAAACTACTTTTTTCGATTAGTAAATAGTCACTTTGGGTTGGAAAATGTACCACGATATGCATACTATGCGATCAAAAATGAGTTGCTGTCGAGTCCCTTTTGGAATTTTTGTTTACAGGGGCAAAGATCATATGATCTTTGACAGGGGAAATCGTAGTTAACTTGAACTTCCAAAGGCGACTTGACTGCCACATATTTTTAATTCTCTTCTCTTTTCAACGAACTATCGCGGTTTTTATATTTTAATCAGGTAGCTTGTGATGAATTAAAAAAAAAACAAAACAAAATATATTTGATGCAACAAAACAATGAAAATAATTACATCATATTTTTAAAATACTGACCATTATTAGTAAAACACACGTCAAGACACATTACGCAACGTATTGCCATTGATGCCATGACACACCTTCAGAACAGCTCCGCGCAGTTGTGTACGTTATTATTAGTATAGTTGTAACTACTTCCATATACTTTATTAAGGATCCTCAGATCCTTTAAGTTTTATATTGTTGTCCGTCCGTCCGCCCGTGTGCGCTGCTATAACTCTTTTTAAAAGTGACCGATTGTATTGAAATTCCGTGTACGAGTACTTTGGACATTAAGGACGGGCGGTATTGATTTTCAGGAACCTGGTTCAACAGGAACAAAAGTTATAGGAGAATGTAATAATAATAGGAATAATAATAGAAATCAACATATTTCATTCCCTAGGTCATGTATCGAGTTCGAACTTATTAGATTATTCCCTACGACTCTTAGATGTATAACAATTCAATATAACTCTTCTCTGTGGTTTAGGTTTGAGAGCAAAATGTACCCAAAATTATTCTTTACACATGAATTTGAAGTTGTACAAGCTTTCATACGCATTATCTTGATGGTAAAAGAGTACATCACATGCACATTTGATAACCGCACGTGTGTGATTCAAAAATGTTAAATTATTTTTCTGAGGCCACTTGGATTTTGATAAAAACTTGTCAGTTGAAAAACTTGTAGTTTTAGAGATAATTCGATTTGTAAGAAAAAATGGGCGTTTGCAAGAGTCAGTATATTGTCAAAAGTATTACTTAAATTTTGATTCCAGGTTTTATATCTTTTTTTTTGGGTTAAGTATAAGTCAAATAAATACATTTACTATGAAACATTAAAAAAATAGGATATAGGGTGGTTTTTGGTAGGTCTAAAGTTGCATAACTTCACATTAAAAATCTCACTTTTTTAAATGGAACACCCTGTATATTATTTTTCTTTCATTGCATTTGTGGAAGTACACATTCGTGATCTACATAGTGTCTAATTTGAACAACCATGATTTTCTCTAAAACTTTCGAGAGACAGGGCAAAATACTTATAGGCCTTAGGTCTTTCAATTCTTTTGGACTACTTACCTTAGCTAGTGGGGTAATTTTAGCAATTTTCCACACGATTGGAAAGGTGCCTTCGCTAAGGCAATAATTTATTATGTGAGTAGTATGGTAGTGCCAAGTACGGTAAACATAACTTCCACATATCTAGACTGATACCATCTTGCCCAAGTGAATTTGAGTTTAAAGTGAGAAATGTTTTCAAAAAGTCCGATTCAGTGATTAAACTAAACTTAAATTGAGTTGTAGACGTTCTAGAACCACTATAGTACGCAAAAAGTTTGCGTTCATCAAGCTTTACATTGTCGTCGGTGTTTGTGAAAAACTCACTAATTTTATTTACTTGACGAAGATCTACAGGCACTTCGTTAGTTTTTAAAATACTGGTAATGCCTAATTTATTCCACTGCCTGGTATGTCTACCGTGCCAACTCCCAGCCCTCTTCTCCAGCAGCCTGCGGTGTCCATCCGAAAGAAGAAAAGACGGTCCCGTAGCCAGACTCAACGTAAAAAGGCTAACCAGCGCCGAGTACTCGTGGGGGTCAGTCTTGGAGGTGGTCCAGGAAGCTTCCTACGTCTTCCCCGAAAAGAGGCCGTAGAGATGGGGTTGATTCTGAAAGGCGAACATCACCATATCTTTAATTTTTTATCCCCCAGCAAATCCTCTACCCGAAGGGAGGGAGAGATGTGAGGAAACGAAATTAAGGGTGAGGAAATAATCTGCCCAAACCAGTAAATAAGATTTCCCCCAGATATTTCCACTTAATTTCGCCCCTCCTAATCGTCTTCCCCACCAGATCTCCAAGATATATATACCTACCTGTGTCAGTCCAGTGTTTGTAACTTTTGCTTCTACCTTTACCAGTGCCTTTTGCTATTAACCAGCCTTATTTACCTGTCATTGATTACTGCACCTTTAACCGTCGTTCCATTTCCTGTAAAACCGTTGTTAACCTGCACCCCCTGTCGTTCCTTGTGTTGAGTGTGTTGCCGTTAGCCCTAGGGGGTTAATCGTAATTAGCCGTCGAGGTGAGTGAGTGTTTATAGTGTCATTAAAACAACAATCTTTCAACCCTTTTATTAAAACGTGCAAGCCGTTACCTCTATTACTCTGACCAGTTCCCAATTCCCCGAGTAATTCCAGTTCCTAGGTGTACTCCCTAGCGAACGGGTTACTACAACAAGTATTCCTCAAGATTACCAGCTACTCTCCGTACGTTCCTACCTGTCCGTGTCTTCAAAACAAAATCGGAGCGTGACTCCTGGTTTTAAACGAAGTACACCTCCGTAGTATCTTCCCGTCGCCCCGTCCTGCCTAAACCTGGGGCACAGTGCTCCCGCCTACGTTAACCATAAGGGGCTGAAAGCCGTCACGTGAAAGGTTAGTTGTTACAGTTCGAACACTCACCCCGCAGGTTCTGTTGGTTACCCCGTTCGGGTGGCGCAGCCCTCAATCCCGCATCAATTAATTTGTTACATTCTAGACAGCACTGCACGTGGAAATTAACCTACAGTCCGACACGAAAACGGCATTGACAGCAAACCAGCTGACACGCTGGGGCCAGATAACTACCGGCAGATGGCAGTACTCCCCAAGTAAATACGAGGACTGCTCCGGAAATCTTTTATATTATTTTATTTTGTATATATATATTTTTATTTCTATTTAGCCAATACACTTTTAATTTTCTTTGCTCGCCAATTATTTCCC